TGGACAAGATTCCAATGCTCTATTTATTCATGTAAGAGATTTTAACCATCCAATTGATTTTCAAAAGGTTGAGAAAGTAGTATCAAGCAAGTCCATGGTCGACAGGAATATAATTGAATCTTGTTACATAAAAAGCAGTTTTGACAATAATATGAATATTTCCTTTGGTTTATATAAATTAGATCCATTTATAATTAATAGAATTTGGGAAGAATTTAATAATACACTGGACAAATAATCTTTAAAATTTCTTATTTCTTGGGTAGAATAGTTTGTGGGGTGAGTTGTGCCAAGGACCTTTCCAAGTTGGGTCGCCGCGCGTCACGTGTTTAAACCGTTGTGGGATCTGATAGTGATGTGCCGACCAGACCCCTTATATAGCTTCCTTGGATGCTTTACTTTCATAGTTCCTTGATAATGTGAGTAGTCACGAAAGCGCTTGGAATTTCTCTATTCTTTCAGAGTGGTTGTTTTGCATATTCTGAAATCACCTGTTTACTGTGATCTTATTGCATATATATATATATATATATATATATATATATATATATATATATATATATATATATATATATATATATATATATATATAATATATATATATATATAATATAATATATATATATAATATATATATATATATATATATATATATATATATATATATATATATATATATATATATATTTATTTATTATATATATATTATATTATATATTATATTATTATATATATATATATATATGTGTGTGTGTGTGTGTGTGTGTGTGTGTGTGTGTGTGTGTGTGTGTGGTGTGTGTGTGTGTGTGTGTGTGTGGTGTGTGTGGACATGGACAAAAAAAAATTCCTACAGGGTGGGAAGAAAAAAAAATGGGGGGGGGCTGCTAAATATTGTGGTCCAAGGCAGTTAGCCTTGGCGGGTGTTACTGCACACCTTCCTGCATCTGGACAGATACTGCAACACAGGAGACATCGCTGAAGCTGAGCTGTGACGTAATGGAGTAGGGTCTCCTTTGGAAGGGTGAAGCAGTCATCATGGAGTAGTCGCTGCAGGGTTCACTCATCCTGGGGCTCAACCTGCTAGTGCCCTCGAGAGCATTGTCACTACTCAGCAACTGGGCAGGATTTCTGGCAAGTGACTCAGAAGGACATTTCTCGATTGGTACTGTCGCTGGGCAGTCACTGCAGGCGAGAGTGGAGTGAGTCATAGCACAGCTGACTCAGGCAAAGCAGCATACACCATAACTGGAGTGAGTGGGCTAGCAGTCATTGTCATCATTCATTGAGCAGGCTGCTCACTGAAGCTGTGACATGAGTCAGACAGTTGCCTGCTGACAGGGCTGCTGTGGCTTGACGATGTCATCCTCTCGACAATTGGAGTCAAAGCAGAGGCTAGTCTAAGCATCCTCAGACTGGTTCTCTACACACTGTGTAGAGGTATGAATCAACCCATGAAAGCACAAATAGGCGAGTACAAGTAGGTGAGGACACACACACACACACACACACACACAGATGATGTGAAGCTGATGAGAAGAATTAAATCGGATGAGGATGAGGCAAGACTGCAAAGAGACCTGGACAGGCTGGACATGTGGTCCAGAAACTGGCGTCTCGAATTCAACCCTGCCAAATGCAAAGTCGTGAAGATTGGGGAGGGGCAAAGAAGACCGCAGACAGAGTATAGGCTAGGTGGACAAAGACTACAGACCTCACTCAGGGAGAAAGATCTTGGGGTGACCATAACACCGAGCACATCACCGGAGGCACACACCAACCAAATAACTGCTGCAGCATACGGGTGCCTGGCAAGCCTGAGAATAGCGTTCTGATACCTTAATAAGGAATCGTTCAAGACACTGTACACTGTGTATGTTAGGCCCATACTGGAGTATGCGGCACCAGTCTGGAACCCACACCTGGTCAAGCACGTCAAGAAGTTAGAGAAAGTACAAAGGTTTGCAACAAGGCTAGTTTCAGAGCTCAGGGGAATGTCGTACGAGGAAAGGTTGAGGGAAATCGGACTGACGACACTGGAGGACAGAAGGGTCAGGGGAGACATGATAACGACATACAAGATACTGTGGGGAATAGACAAGGTGGACAGAGACAGGATGCTCTTTTTTTTTTTTTTTTTTTTTTTTTAATATTTCCTATGCATTTATTGCCTTTGTAACTTATTCAGAACTTTGCGGCCCAGTCCATGCAACCTTTACGTAGCTGGGTAATCTTTTTGACTACCGCCCACACCACGGGTATGATGTTCATAATAAAGCTATTAAACTGACTTGTTGATGCAGCTGGAGACTCAGTGGGATTTTCCGTCTGGGCAACATAAGGCAAGAAAATAGATTTCATGGCTTTATCAATCAGTTCGCGAGACAAAATTCTTGGTTTTCTCCTCCGTCCGACAAATTTGTTTATCAGACGTTTTACATAAAAACGATCTTTGTGTTCTTTGGTGTTCTTTGCTGGGCGATGGACTGGATAAACTGCTAAGTTATTTCGACGACCACGGCCCTGTAGATTTATATCGTTAGGAAATTCCTTCAGCATAGATTTAACATTGAGGATTACCGTCTCATCTGCATATTATGACATATATATTTTGAATTTGCGTACAAGTTCAGCAGAATCATAAACTTTTGAACTCGTAACAAAATCCAAAAAAGTGAGGGCAAAGTAGGCACAATTTCTATACCCCTAAACTTTATATTACATGTCAATAATGGTATTTCCAATACCATGGCGTTTTTGATAATGGTGAACGAATTTATGAGCTTTATGACCATTGGAGTCAAAGTATATGTAAATACCGTCCCAATGACGATAAAAACTAACAGCATGATTAATATTAGACCTTGCAGTACGAAGTCGTAGGTAATATCCATACCCTCTCTCCAGTTTAACCTTATAGTCAGTTGCATATGCAATGGAACACCTTCTACCGAGAAGACGGGGAGTTTCCTTCAGTATTTTCTGCACGTCCTGGACACACAGTGGCCGAGTTTCTTCAGTGAGTATTTTCCGAAATTCCATTCTTATGTTTTTTTTTTTTTTTTTTTCAAACTAAAAAGACTTATTGAGAGATAACAAGTCGGATGTCTATCTCAGAATAAAGAAAACACCAGACACCAGAAACGCTCTATATGTTGTTATGGACTCTTTAATGTAAGAGTAATAGTATATTAGTAGTTAAATATAGTGAAGTAAGAACTTAAGGTACTAGCCCTTGGTAATGAAAATAACCCTCGAAGCTATAATCTAGGTGAAGTAGAGCTTGATCATACAGAATGTGAAAAGGACTTGGGAGTCATGGTGAACAGAAATCTAAAGCCAAGACAGCAGTGCCTTTAGTGTGCGCAACAAGGCCAACAGATTACTTGGATTTATCTCAAGAAGTATAAGTAACAGAAGTCCAAAAGTTATTTTACAGCTCTACACATCACTAGTGAGGCCTCATTTAGATTATGCTGTTAGGTAAGACACATATGCAACAGTTAGGTATCTTTATTTCGAAACGTTTCGCCTACACACCCCTCAAGGAAGGTTCCTTGATGTTGGTGAGGGGCTCTTGATTTAGGGAATTGGATCTGTGCTCCAGTTCCCCGAATTAAGCCTGAATGCCTTCCACATCCCCCCCCCCAGGCGCTGTATAATCCTCCGGGTTTAGCGCTTCCCCCTTGATTATAATAATAAATTCGCCTACACAGTAGGCTTCTTCAGACGAGTACAGAAAAGTTGATAGAAGCAGAAGAGACTTGAAGACGATGTAATCAGTCCCTCAGTCTGGAGAAGAGCATTGTTCCATAGTCTGAAACAATATGGAGTTGAAGTGACAGGATGGAGCCTTATATAGCGCCAGGAGGTGAGACGTAGGTCACTAGTAGAAGTAAGAACGCAGATGTTGGGAGGTCAGGTCCCTCTCAAATCCAGCCGTTCTGTATACATATTTTTATATTCTGCACTATCTGCGTTGCAAGTATTTAGTTTAGGTAGAGGGGGCTAGGCTTGTGAGATACTGGTATAGCTTTCTTGGATATCGCTCGACAGAAATTAGTTTTTACCGTTTTTACTTACATTTCTTCCTGATAAATCCCCTCAAGGCAGGTTCCTAGATGCTGGTGAGGGGCTCTTGATCTAGGGAATTGGTACCTAATGAATGTAGCGACAGAAAGGGAGGATAATGATTTTTTTTTTAACTAACACATGTAAATGTAAATAACTCTTTTTACCTTATTCCTAGTACATATCCTTTATAGTATAATAATAAGATATTATATCCTTTATAGTATAATAATAAGGTATTAAAAGGACGCCAATTGAAATAAGTCATTCTTGACTTTTTTTTGGGTTATGCCAGGTTCTCTACACATATGTTGCTGTGTATGATAATCTATGTAACTGTACATGTATTTGTGTATACCTGAATAAACTTACTTATTCCCTGAATTAAGCCTGAATGCCTCCCACATCCCCCCCTATAGGCGATGTATAATCCCTACAGATTTAGCGCTCCCCATAATCTTCCTGATGCTGCACTATGTGACCCTTGTACATTTAGCGCTTTTTTTTTATTACAACAATAATTATAATAATAACATCTTCCTAACGAAAGATTGTGAACGAAGTTCCTTGCCATAAATTTTCCTATTTCTAGAGTGTGTTTTTATGTTGAACTATATGACTTATATAAGACGAGGACCCCAGGACAAATAAATAGTGTTATACTTCATTAGGTTAGCCTAAAATGCTACATACTACAGTTGCAAATATTTAAATTTGCGTACTGAACCTAAATAAAAACTTACTGCCCGAAGTACTTTGCATAACAAAGGGTTTTTCAATAAAAAGTATAGTACTATATATATACATAATTCCTAAAACTGTAACAACCCTGTATTTTTCGAAAATAAAATTTGTATTTGTACTTATATGAGACGTTCAGCATTGATTACATCGCCCAAACTATTTTTGTTTTATTTTAGGGGAAACTACACTAGCCAATATCGACAAAAGAATGATATGATAAGCACAAATTTGACCACCGTACGTGACCATAGATGCAAATAATTACGATAAAAAATGCCAGACGTTGATCATTATTCTGCTGAGGCCAGATAATAGACAAATTACACCAGAGATTAATGATAAAGTGAGGGAGGGGTGTGTGGGAGCAGCAGCAGCAGCGTCTGCACCTCCTCTACACAATCTGTGAGTAAACACTGTCTGCTTCTTTACTACATATTATCACAACTCTAGAGGTTATCTCACAACTCTAGAGGTTATCTCACAACTCTAGAGGATATTCTGGTACACCACAGAATACTGTACTACTGCAGGATAGTAGAGAGGTGAGTGTTGGTGCTGGTGTGGGGGTCAGCTTGTGTGCTGGTGACCATTTATAATGTTACGTGACGCATTTACTGTATGTAATTTGACTTTCATAGACAACTGGTAAGATAAATACTACACACAAGATAACATAGTAGATTATTGTCAATACCTGTCCAGGTGAGTATATCTTAATTGTTCCAGGAATTAGATAATACTATTATGAACTTAACCAATGTCAATTATTAGGTAAATAAAATTTATTCAAGTGATTATACTAGCTCACATTTTAACAAATGTCTTTAGTAACTTATATAAATTAACCTAGGATAACCCAGTAAAGTCAAATACAATGGCTTATTTCCATTGTGGTCATGCTATTTCTGTTCGGTCTATTATTTCCAATTGGAAATGACAAAAATATTTAATTAAAAGTAAGTATATTTTTTTTACAGCCTGCACAATATATTATAGCATATGATTTAACTCATCTGAAATGCCTAGATTAAATCCTAAGGATTGTTAGAAATATGGGTAAGTTTGCCAACACCTGTGTGACAATCAGTTACCTAACAGTTAGTGGCAAATACAGTGTAGTGAGGACTTTATTAATGCAATGTTTCGCCTACAAGAGGGCTTTATCAAGTACAAGGAACAAGAATGAAGAAACACTGCAGTAGGCCTATTTGCCCATGCTAGGTAGGTCAGGTTCGGAAAGTGATGAAGGAACTCCATGATGGTCAGTACTTGGACCAGTACTGTTTCTTGTGTATGTAAATGATATAACAGAAGAAATCAGAGTCTGAGGTGTCCCTTTTCACAGATGATGTAAAACTAATGAGAAGAATTCAGATAGGAGCAGACCAGGAAAGACTACAGATGGATCCGGACAAACTGCAGGATTGCTCTGACGAGTGGTTATTAGAATTTAATGCTAGCAAATGCAAAATTTGAAAATTGGGGAAGGGCAAAGAATATCAGAAACTGTACAGGCTCTGGGAACAAAGGCTGCAAACCTTGGGGTAAGTATAACTTTGAGTATTTCTCGTGATGAAAACAACCAAATAACGGCTGCAGCAAACTGGCAAATTTAGGGGTAGCTTTCAGGAGCCTCAACAGAAAGGCATTCACGACCCTATACATGGCATATGTTAGGCCCATATTGGAGCATGAAGTGCTAGTATGGAACCCACATCTCATAAAGAGTGTCAGGATACTGGAAAAAGAGCTGAGGGGCAAGAGCTGTGAAGAGAGACTACAGGAACTAAACCTGACGACAGTAGAGGCCAGAAGAACTAGGCGTGACACAATTACAGTGTACAAAATATTGTACAGTGGAACCTCGGTTGTCAGATTTAATTCATTCCAGATGTCAATTTGACAGCCAAAATGGACGACACCCAAAGCAATTTTTCCCATAAAGAATAATGTAAATAGAATTAATTTGTTCCAGACCAAAAATGACAGTACAGTGGAACCTCAAAAATCGAACGTATCACATATCGAACGTTTCGAAAATAGGACCATTTTTTCGGACAAACTGTGTCCCTATTATCGAACGCGCCCCTATTTTCGGACCGCCAGGTACGGGTCCTGTCTGCCGCCCGCTCTGTCCGCGTCCCCGCGCAGGCGCCACGAGCAGTCTAGCTTTGTTTATGCTTGAGTGAACACTAACCTGCGCTCTCACGCATTTTACGATTATTTCGTTGTGTTTAGTGCTTGTGGGACTGTGAAAAAAGCTGCCATGGGCCCAAAGAAACTTGCTAGTGGTACCCCTGTGGTAAAGAAAGTGAGAAACACCATAGATGTGAAGAAGGAAATAATACAGAAGTATGAGAGTGGTGTGAGACTTGTTGAGCTTGCCAGGATGTATGGGAAAAACAAGTCGACCATCGGTTCTATCCTGTCAAAGAACAAATCAAGGAAGTTGATGTTGCAAAAGGTGTTAATATAGGGAGTGGATGAGGTGCCTTCTTCAAAGATTAAGGAGATTTGTATCAAGTGGAATGATGTCCAAATGTTTGTGCAGAATTACCACCCTGAGCAAGCTGAAACAAGCCATCTTTGCAACAAGTTCAGTGACAGAACCATGTCCCATTTTAGGGAAATCTTAAAGAGGCGCCAGAAACAGAGGACTGTGGACAGTTATTTTGTGAGACAGGGGTCCAGTGACTCTCAAGCTGGTCCTAGTGGCATTAAAAGACAGAAGGGAAGTAACCCCAGAGAGGGCTTTACCTGAAGTCCTCATGGAGGGGGATTCTCCTTCCAAACACTAACCCCAACTCCCTCTCTCCTCCTCCCTATCTTCCAGATGCCATCACCAATCTTCAATAAAGGTAAGTAAAAATGTTATTTTATATGTATTACTATACATAATTAAAAACTATAGTATTTGTTGTATGTAAAACTGTAATTAATCTCTATAAAATGTATTTTTTGTGTGAATATTTTTGGGTTTCTGAAACAGATTAATTGTATTTCCATTATTTCTTATGGGAAATATTGCTTTGCTTTTCAGACTTTGCGAATTTAGAACTAACTCCTGGAACGGATTAAGTTCGATATTTGAGGTTCCACTGTACTTTCCACTATATAAAATATTCAGAGTGCAAGTATAAAAGCTAAGATAGTAGTAGTATTGCTGAGCATATACTATAAGCTTTTAGTATATGCTCAGCAATACTACCACTATCTTAGCTTTTATACTTGCACTCTGAATATTTTATATAACGGAAAGTACTAGGTCACTGACCTAGAAGGCAAAGCAAAGAACTATCATTCCATGAATGACTGGAAGACTGAACTCAAAACTGAGCCTCCTTTCATAGCTTCTCTATCAGATCAACAGGTTCTGAAAATTATTGAGACTCTGCTGGAGGTGCACAATTGACCAAACAGCACTCAAGCTGTTGAGAGAGGGATAAAATTGATGACTGAAGCTTGCATTGAAGTGACTGGAGAGAAGGCAAGAGGTGCATATTTTCCAGGATATTTCTCAGGAAAGTGATGCCCAAATTCTGCACCAAGAAAGACTTCACTTATAATACAGCCTCTCCTCACTTAGCGACATACTTGTTTGCCAACGCCTCAGACTTACGACAGGCTCTCTGACCAGTATTCGTACTTAAATAATGTATAATAGAGCTGATTTCTTCTTTTCTGCGGGGGTCTTGGCAAGAGGTGTGGAGTTAAAAGATAGAGAATAAAACACAAAGTGGGAGTTGTCACAGTTGCTTTTTGCTGATGACACTGTGCTCTTGGGAGATTCTGAAGAGAAGTTGCAGAGGTTGGTGGATGAATTTGGTAGGGTATGTAAAAGAAGAAAAAGGTGAATATAGGAAAGAGTAAGGTTATGAGGATAAGATTAGGTGATGAAAGATTGGTTATCAGATTGGATGGAGAGATTATGGAGGAGGTGAATGTATTTAGATATTTGGGAGTGGATGTGTCAGCAGATGGGTCTACGAAAGATGAGGTGAATCATAGAATTGATGAGGGAAAAATGGGTGAGCAGTGCACTAAGAGTCTGTGGAGACAAAGAACTTTGTCCTTGGAAGCAAAGAGGGGAATGTATTAGAGTATAGTTTTACCAATGCTCTTATATGGGTGTGAAGCATGGGTGATGAATATTGCAGCGAGGAGAAGGCTGGAAGCAGTGGAGATGTCATGTCTGAGGGCAATGTGTGGTGTGAATATAATGCAGAGAATTTGTAGTTTGGAAGTTAGGAGGAGGTGTGGGATTGCCAAAACTGTTGTCCAGAGGGCTTTGGAAAGGATGTTGAGGTGGTTCAAACATGTAGAGAGAATGGAATGAAAGAGAATGACTTCGAGAGTGTATAAATCTGTAGTGGAGGGAAGGCAGGGTAGGGGTTGGCCTAGGAAAGGTTGGAGGGAGGGGTTAGTTAGTTTAATATCTTTATTATGCACCCCATACCCATCCTGTGGGCGGTAGTCAAAAGATTACAGAGGTGCATAATGGGTCCAGGGACTGGACCCCAAAGTTATGATAGCTGAACTAGTTACAAAGGTAATGAACTCCAGGTAGATCTGGTCACAATCATTGCAAGTTACAAAGGTAATGAATCAGCTTCACTCCTATACATGGTTACAGTCATGAACAAATTACAAAGTAATGAGCCACACCTGGTCACAATTGTAATGAGTTATAAATACAAATATTAAGTGGGTCATACACCCACATGAGCCACACACACACACACACCACACACACACACACACACACACACACACACACACACACACACACACACACACACACACACACCACACACACACACCACCACACACACACACACACACACACACACACACACACACACACACACACACCACACACACCCACACACCACACACACACACACACACACACACACAACCACACACAACACACACACACACCACACACACACACACACACACACACACACACACACACACACACACACAACACACACACACACAACACACACACCACACACACACACACACACACACACACACACACACACACACACACACACACTCACACACAATATGTCTGCACTCTGAAGGAGGGGTGTTAATGTTGAAGTTTTATAAACTACTGTAAAGCACCCTCCTGGCAAGACAGTGATGGAATGAATGATTAAAGTTTTTCTTTTTCGAGCCACCCTGCCTTGGTGGGAATTGGCCGATGTGTTAATAATAATAATACACCTACCATCCGACTTACGACCGAGTTCGGTTCCGAGAAACCGGTCGTAAGTTGAAATGGTCGTAAGTCGAACTTTACTACTGAATATCAACAAAACATTTTTGTAATGACTTTATTTTATTGTTTTATTTTGGTATTTCATGTTTTACTTTACTTTTTATGTTGTTAGTACTGTATTTTATACTGTAAGGTTTAGGATAAACACTGTGTACAACACAGATAGTTGTTTATTTCTTAGAAATTTGGCATAAAAAACACGGTTTTAAGTCGAGTGGTCGTAAGTCGAGCAGGTCGTAAGTCGGATGGTAGGTGTAATACTGTATAAACATTTAAAAATATACCAGAAATGTTACAAATGGTGCAAAGGTGACATTAAAACAATATCAAAGATGGTTGACACAGACTCACTACCATTATAGTGACGAATTTGTTTAATGACGTGGTCTCAGGAATGGAACTCTGTCGTTAACTGAGGAGAGGCTGTAGTTTAAAATTAAATAATTGATGATTGATATAACCCATGTACATTTGATTACACAATCTTTACAATAAAAAATGATATGAACCATGTACGTTTGATTATTATCCTACGAGCCAGGCCCATGGCCGGCTCGTAGGATAGTAGTTAAACATTCGAAACTCTTCAAAGGCATATCAAAGGTGACAATCAATAAATTATAACTAATTGCTTTCAGTGGTGTATAATTTGACGAAAAGTCGATCGCAATGCTGCAGGGTAAATGGGCATGAAATGGTCTGAAATTTTGCACAAAAGTTTTTTGTGACCTTACAAATAATGCCTGAAAAATGCAACTTGCATCTCTAAAATTTGTATTTTTTCAATGCTCCCTTATAGGTCAGTAGGATTCAGAATGCACAAAGTTAGGTTTTACATGCTCCTTAACTTCAGTTAAATTAATCCTATTTCTTTCAGGTTCATATGATGTGTAATGTGAAGTGGCTGTAAAGATGTCAGACACAGAAGATGAATGCCCCTCAAGAGCAAGTAATAGTGGCAATGAATCTGATATCAATGAACCCAGCACCAGTTGGGGCTCACGGAAGAGACCCAAGCTAAAGCACAAGTTTCTGTCGGACTCTGAGGAGGAGGATCATCCGAAAACCGGAGGTGATCCAGATGACTCGGAAGATGAGGATGACCCAATGGAGGAGACATTGGAAGGTGTCAAACATACTAGTTCCCTGTTGATGCAAAGTATGAGAATAGTGAAACAAAGTGCATGTAGCAGCACCCTCTGTATTTATTTAATATTTTTTAAACTTTCCTTTCTTATACAAAATCATTATATGAGTAATAACTTTTTCTCTCACTTGTATGTCTGTGGGGAACATATTTTGTTACCTATTGCTCTAAATCTTTTACTTCTAAAATTTTATTAACCAAAATTATGGATTCATCGTATCACCTATACGGTATCCATAATTCATTTACACTACTGTAATTTAGGTAATTCATCAATTTCTGGTAATGTATCATGGTAGGAAGAAAAATTATGTACACTACTATAGTATGTTTTTTCAAATTAACCCTTTCAGGGTCCAGAGGCCAAATTTCAAAGTGTGCACCATGGTCCAAGAATTTTCAAAAAATAATTTTATTTTTTCTTATGAAATGGTAGAGAATCTTTTTCTGAAGGTAATAAAACAAAAAGTATGAAATTTGCTGGAAAATTGAAGAAATTATGTTCTCATGAAGTTTGATCTGTCAGTGATATTTATGCATCGGCGATTTTGCTGACTTTTACTCCCATTTTAGGCCAATTACATTATTCCAGTTAACCAAATTCTTAGCTATTTCACTAGTATTACTTCTGTTCTGTCGATTGAGCACAAGAAATCGCCAAGTCAACTGTGTCAACTACAAAATAAAGTGATTGGAAATTGGTAATTTGGTCAATTTAATGCAAAGTTCAAAATATTCCAATTTCAAAATTGGGTCTAGAATAAACAATGCAGGCATTCCTGGCACTAAACTAACATTTCCTCTGTTCATTAGTTATGTTTTTAGGCTTTACAAATGAATTCCATTTTGATTTTTAATTCAAATAATGAATTTTTATTCAAACCAAAAAATAGAAAATTTACTGTTATGCAATACTGTAATAACTGTATAAATAATATCACCACATTTGTGAACGTATATTAGACCCACCAGCTGGCGTGTATTAGACTTGTGAGGCCATTTGTTTACTCTTGAACATTGGCAAAAATTTAACATTTCTGCTACTTTGAGCTCAGTTTCAAGCCATTTTCAGTACTAAAACCGATCAAAATCATATCTATTTCTGTAATTTATCTTCCATTCTATCAAATGAGACCAAGAAATTGCAAACACAACTATAAAAGACATACAAAAAAAAAAAAAACTGCAAATTTGCTGTTTTAATTGAAAATTACGGTCTCGGTTTTTTCTCTCATTATGCACTGTGTGCTGCAGGATTTATATTATGTGGAGCACACATACCACATAGATGTATTCTCTCATATCTAGGCCCAAATTTACCGCTCACAGCTTATCAGAGTGAGCTGAGCTCATGACATAGATCTACGGTTTGGACCCTCAGTGTAAAGCCATAGATCTACGGCACGGACCTTGAAAGGGTTAGGAAAATGTTGATGTACAATATACAGTACTGAAATATGTCACAAAATACAGGTAGCCTAAATGTCCCATACAAATTTGGTGTGGTAATTTAACAGTGCAATATTCCTTTAAATTTAGTACATATTGCCCCTGGGTATTAAGTCATACCAGTGTCAAAATAAAATATAAAGGAGGACTTTGGTGAATCCTTCATGTAGGTGTTAACCCTTTCACACTCCGTCACGTAGATCTACATTATTAATGCCAGGGTACCTCGAGTAGATCTATTTCTTTGAGCTCAGATTGCTCAGATAAGCTGAGAATGTTAACCCTTTCACTGTCAAGACCCCTGCTCACAAACTTGCTCTCAATGTTGAAGAATTTTCCAGAATAAAAAATTAAAAAATTTCTTATGGTAATGACACCAAAAGTACAAAATTTGATGGAAAACTTACAGAATTACTCTTGCGAAGTTAGTGGTCTCGGCAATCTTTACACATCAGCAATTTTGCCCACTTTGAGCCATATTTTTGGCCAAATCCATTGTTCCAGTCGACCAAACTCAGCTATTTCGCTAGAACTCCTTTAGTTCTATTGATTGAGTACAAGACACTGCCCATTTATCAATTTCAGCTACCCAATAAAGTGATCAGAAATTGGTAATTTGGCCAATTTCACACAATTCAAGGAAGGCCTATTTCAAAATAGGGTCCAGAATTAACAGTGCATACATCCCTACCACTAAAATAAAATTTTCTCTGTTCATCAATCGTGACTCTTGGCCCCCCGTATGTGCTTGCTTTCCATTTTGAATTTTTATTCACACAAAAAAATAGAAGATTTACTGTTATGCAGACTTCTGCATTATTGTAAAAATAGTATAAATAATATCAGCGCATTTCTGAAAGCATATTAGACCCACCAATTGACGTGTATTGGACTCGTGACGTGATTTGTTTACTCTTGAACATTTGCAAAAATCGAACATTTCCGCTAATTTGAGCTCAATTTCAAGATACTTTTACCCCATAAACCATTCAAAATCATATCTAGTTCTGTAATATATCTTCCATTTCATCAAATGAGACCAAGAAAATGAAAATACAACCATAAATACCATACGAAAATACACCACAAAGTTGCTGTTTTAAACTAAAAACACGGTTGGAGCTTTTTCTCATACACTGCATGCTCTAGGATTTTTTTTTGTACAGTGGACCCCCGGTTAACAATATTTTTTCATACACAAATAACCCGCACATAAAAGAGAGAAGCTTTCGACGACGTTTCGGTCCGACTTGGACCATTGACAAAGTCACACTAACAGAGGGGGAGCAGGACGGCTATATATAGGCAGGAAGAGGTGGAGGTAGTAGTAGTACAAGAATTGTATATAATACCGACAGGATGAAATGACACATGCACAACACCCGGCGGGCATCCCCACCGTAGACGTTTCGCCATCCAGCCAGCCACTGGATGGCGAAACGTCCACACCAAAGACAACCAGACGCTGCACATGTGTCTTAATTTCATCAGTAGTTGTAGTAGAAGAAGAAGAGGTAGTAGTAGTGGTAGTGGTAGAAGTGGGAAATAAGGAAGACGAGCCAGTCAAATACAAAGGAAGGGGAGCACTGCAAGAGAGCTAGAAACCCACAGAGGGAGAGCAAGCGCACCGAGGTGCGTGAAAGGGGAAGTGGTGAAAATAAAATAAATGAAGAAGGAACAGAAACACGAGACAGGAGAGAGAAAGACCACCCAGAGGAGAAAAGGAGAGAGGAAAGGGGAAGAGGAAGAAGAAGAAGAAGAAGAAGAAGAAGAAGAAGAAGAAGAAGAAGAAGAAATGAGGATTCAGGTTAAGTCACGGGTGTTCTGAAGTTTGGAGCATTTTACAATGTAGTGGGAGAGGAAGGCATCTACAGAGACGAAACCAGGGCTAAGGTTCATACAAGGAAAGTTGTGTATAAGAGAGGATTCAACTAAACGGCGACTGTTCGAGTTGGAAGTAGGGAAGACAGTTTTAGCAGAAGACCAGTCAATAGGATGGCTATGATCTCTGACGTGACAGAAAAGAGCATTGTTAGTGTCGGCAAGCCTAACACTATTTTTGTGCTCCCTAAGTCTGTCAGAAAGAGATTGACCAGTTTCTCCGAAGTATTGAAGAGGACAGGAGGAGCAAGAAATAGAGTAGACACCAGGAACATCTGTAGAGGGAGGAGAGGTATGAACGAGATTAGTGCGAAGAGTGTTAGTCTGGCGGAAGGTAAGCTTGATGTCTAAGGGACGGAGAGAATTGTTGAGATTAGAAAGACCGGAAATGTAGGGAAGGCAGAGGATAGAAGAGTTCCCATGAGTAGAGAGTTTGGGAGAGAAGAAATTGCGTTTAGCACGTGAGAGGGCAGAGTCTATGAAATGGGAAGGTAGCCAAGACGGGGAGAACGAATTATGAAGAGTGGAAATTTCTACTGGAAGGAACTGAGGATCACAGATGCGGAGGGCACGGAGAAAGAGGGAGATAAGAACACTTTTCTTGACAGGGGAAGCATGATAGGAAAAGTAGTGAATGTACATGCCACTGTGCATAGGTTTACGGTAAACGGAAAAGGAAAAACCTGTATCTGAGCGGTGGACATGGACATCAAGGAAAGGAAGTAAGGAATTAGGGGATGCCCGGGTGTTGTGCATGTGTCATTTCATCCTGTCGGTATTATATACAATTCTTGTACTACTACTACTACTACCTCCACCTCTTCCTGCCTATATATAGCCGTCCTGCTCCCCCTCTGTTAGTGTGACTTTGTCAATGGTCCAAGTCGGACCGAAACATCGTCGTAAGCTTCTCTCTTTTATGTGCGGGTTATTTGTGTATCGTTCCAGTCACGGTACTGTGCCTTTTTGTTATTTAATATTTTTTCATTCCAGAAGTATGTTCAGGTGCCAGTACTGACCGAATTTATTCCCATAAGGAATATTGTGAAGTAGATTAGTCCATTTCAGACCCTCAAACATACACGTACAAATGCACTTACATAAATACACTTACATAATTGGTCGCATTGGGAGGTGATCGTTATGCGGGGGTCCACTGTACTGTGCACACTGACCACTCGGACCCATTCTCTCATATGTAGGCCTACCAGCTTTCTCCCGCATACTATTATGGGATCAACACTGGCTTGCAAACCATAATATTACGGGACTGACATTGAAAGGGTTAATAAAATATTGGCCTAGATATGAGAGAAAGGGTCTGTGTGGTGAGTGTGCATAGTATAAAAAAAATCCTGCCCATGCAGTGCATAATGGGAAAAGAAAAACTCTGACCTTGTCTTTGGTTTAACCCTTTCAGTGTCGGTGCCATAATATTATGGTTTTGAAGTCAGTGTCGGTCCTGTAATACTACGCCAAAATTCTAGTGGCTTCAGATCTTCCGGGAGAAAGCTGGTAGGCCTTCATTTGAGAGAATGGATCTGTGTGGTCAGTGTGCACAGTATAAAAAAAATCCTGCAGCAAGCAGTGCATAATGAGAAAAAAAAACTGCAACCATGTTTTTTGGTTTAAAACAGCAACTTTGCAATGTATTTATGGTTGTATTCTTGTTTTCTTGGTCT